CCAACCCCCCCCCCCCCCCCCCCCGGCCAAAAAAAAAAACCAAAAAACAAATAAAAAAGACATTAGTATTAGAAGAATAAATTAAACAAATCAAAAATATATGCCAGCTACTAATGGTAAATTTATTCATTAAGAAATTCAACTGTAATGGTGAAGCACTTAAAATCTTTGGCAGCGAAGCACAGAAATATCACACCTTTGGGGAATGCCAGAAGGATTTCCAAAATTCACATGTGCAACAGGAGGAAAAGCTACAGGTTTCTCAATATTTGTGCCGACTATTGCTATCTTCATTGGTTTTCCATCAAGCTGCACATTGTTGTATCTCTTAACAGCTGCAAGAGCATGATCCTTCCTCGAGAAGACAACTTCAGCAGTCCCCTAAAATTACAAGAATCGATAAAGAAGCAGGAAACATGGGTCAAGAAAAGAGATTGAGAAAAGCTTAACACCTACCTTTGATCTTCCACTCCTATCATAATGGATCGAGTATCTTTTGATATCACCAACCTCTGAAAACAGTTCCTGCATTAAAAATTAAACATAAGCTACGAAGCAAAATATAAGTAATACCCTTGAACAACTTCGCATTAGTTAATGCAGTCTAAAAGTACCCCAAAGAAAAGGATTCAACAGATGGATGAAATAGGAAAAGATACTGCTAAGTCATTGCACTATGAAGGGTGATGGACAATTTATAATCGCTTGTCAATCACTATTGGACTAAATCAAATTAGTAAACACTCATATGTTTTGTTAGTAAAGAGGATCGATTCAAAGAGGATATGTTATACTTTTAACATTTAACATGACATCCATTTCTTTAAAATAAAATTAAAAATAACATTTAAAATGACATCCGCAAAATGAAGTCTTTGAACACAATTTGACAACAACCAAGGAATGTTTCTCTAATAGAATCTGTGGAACCCAATAAATGCTACCTTTCTCCTTACATAAAGGCACTAACTCATACAGCCTATCTGTCGACCTTAGCATATCGCATATCCAGTATGAACCTTCTTGTGAAAAGACGAACTTTCAAAAACTACATACTTTCAAAACCTGAATAAAGAAAATGACTAACTTCTATCTGTTTAAAACCAACCAAATACTGTCCTGTCGGAAGCACCAAATGGTCCAAGAGGCAGTGCAACAGAAGTGGCGGCCAAGAGACTTTCTTCAGGCACGTTGAATTGAACTCCGTAATCCAATTACCCAAAGCCAATAATCCCTTACCTAATTTTACTTCTGTGAATGAATCCCCAAAGAAACAAAATGACTTCTACTTGAAATGCAAATTGATAAATATTTTTTTCACCACAGAATTTCAACGTAATCTATATTTCTTAGGCACAAATTTCTTCCAGAAACAATTTCTTTTGTTTACCAAAACTCCTGACATGAAACAAATATGATCATAAGTTTAAACATTTAAGACTGAGAGATATGTTAAACAGATCAAATAGGAATTCTGCTACTCGAACCCCAAATTATCATTGCCACACATGCCCACAGCTATCTGGTATAAGAAGTTAGTAATATATAATTAGACAAAAGCACCTGGAAGGTTATTAAAAGATTTATTGAAGCAGCTAATGGAAAGCCTTCAATGGACAAAAGTGCTGAAAGGTAATTAAAGAGTTATTGAAGCAACTCAAGCAACTGACAAATAACAATGATATTCCAGGAAAATATGCATAAAACATGTTGGGAAGTTATAGGAGCTAATATAATAATACAATTTAAACCCAAAAAGAAAAAGAAAAAGAATAAAAACTTGAAGGTTGATGATTTAGAGACCAGTGTTAGAAACAGCAATCTGGACGCCATCTAGACAGCCACATAGGAGAAAGCAGCACCCAGACAACCGAAAATTAGCCTAGGCTTTCCAACCTCCGGTTAGGCAATTTTGGGCTTCCTTCTTCTTTTCCTCTTGCTTCAACTACTACAACAGTTTAGCTAGTGAACTAGAACAATGAAATGATAAATAAAAATTGATTGCTTTCATGATCTTGTACCTAATTATTCTCATTCAAGTTAGGTATTGAACGGCCACCATTCCAAAAAAAAATGCTAAGAAAAACTAGACGATACTTGGTCATGAGGTCAAACGAAAATTCCAAGACGTGATATTTAGGAATTGGCTTTCAACAACAGGGACCATGAGATTGCAATCCTAACTTTATCCAATGCATTTTGTAATGCAAGCATGGGCTACAGCAGTGTATAAACTCTGTATTGTGGAAAGATGAGTATTTTCTCAGAAGGACAAGTATCATAAGCTGCAATGTACCAAAAAGTAGCAGAAGGTCACAAGAACATATACCAATATTCTTAGAGTGGGTTTTTGTATTTCAACCAAAGTAGTAGGCCTGTAGATGAACAGTAAGACAAGCAACCCACATGAATAAGAAACTATATGAAAGGTTTATGACGGAAATTCGACTTTATAAAACCCAAATTTAGGAAGAAAATTTTGAACAAAGACCATCATCATAAAGCTTCAGTGAAAATGTCCTTTATCCACACATCCATATTGATGTCAGAACAGGTTTGGGATCCTCTCCAATTAGGCGGTAATTGGAGAGGATCCAATTCTTTAAATCACCACCATCAATGTTAAGTTTAAATGTTAAAATAACACCACGTAGGATTATCACAATTATGATGATGGTTTTTCAATACCATACTAGATTCTGTGAATTTAATTTTATTACGATAAAATCAACCTATTCAGCAAGCAATCAGCTGTTAGAGAAGTTAGTTGAAAAAAATCCCACAACTGATCACCACAGAAAAATAATCGAACGATAGCATCAAGTAAACATTGAAAAGAACATGAACATGTATACGTATACGTATGATATGTATACATATATGTATTATATCTGTTAATTTCATATGATTCACAGAGGGTATGACACTATAAAATAGACCAGGAAATTTCATTCATGATCGAGTAAGACAAACGTATTAATAATGCAATTAAATTCACAAACTCTACGAATTTTATGAAATATTTAGAAATATTTGATTTTATCCTAAACAAAATTAAATTCACAAAATTTAGCATGAATTGAAAAATCACTATCATAATTGTGGAAATCCTATGTGGCATTGAAAAACCACTATCACAATTGGATCCTCTTCAATTACCACCTAATTAGAAAGGATCCAAATCCATGAGAACAACACTAATAAGTGAAGAGGCTTGAAAGTTGTCATATTCTTTAGCTAGTTTGTTAATCTGTTTTAGAAGTCCTATTCAGTAGGGTTTTAGTTACTTTTGAATAAGTCTCACATAGCTGATTGTGGCTAAGAGAGTGAGCAATATTTCAGCATTTGTTGTTAAAGTTTGTAGGCTATATAATAGCCAGAGTTTACATACAGTAATAGAGTTTTTTGGTTGATTGCATACTTCCTTTACTCTACAAACTGGTATCAGAGCCCACTGGGCCTGATATACACAAATAAACCGCAGCTTAGCTAAGAAAAGAAGAGAGAAACACGAAAATGAGTGACGAAAAGATTTCAGCAAAAATCCTCACTTTGATGGTCTTCATTATGATCATTGGAGTGGGTTGATGGAGAATCTTCTTCGTACAAAAGGGCTATGGAGTTTAGTCGAGAATGGTTTCGAGGAGCCTCAAGCAGGGACTATGTTGACTGACACACAGCTGGAGCAGTTGGAGCACGCCAGAACAAAGGATCACAAGGTCAAGCATTATCTTTTCAGGGCCATTGATAGAGCAATCTTCGAACAAGTCTTGGACAGGCGCACGTCCAAGATTGTTTGGGATTCCCTGAAAAGGAAATTTGTAGGCCATGATCGTGTGAAGAAGTCACTTCTCAATTCACTGAGATGGAATTTTGAGGTGCTTGAGATGAAAGACCATTACTAAATACTTTGCCGGAGTCATGGCAGTGGCCAACAAAATGAGGAGCAATGGAGAGGATATGCCAGACTCTAAGGTGGTGGAGAAAATCCTTCGAACATTAACAGAGGTTCACCTATGTTGTTGTTTCAATTGAGGAATCAAAGGACACAGGAGCAATGTCCATTGATGAGCTTCAAAGCTCTCTGGTGGTCCATGAACAAAAGTTCAAGAGAGTCAGCCGAGATGGTGAGCAAGCACTCAAGGTAGAAAGCAGCAGAGGAAGAGGAAGAGAAGTTCAAGAGAGTCAGCCGAGATGGTGAGCAAGCACTCAAGGTAGAAAGCAGCAGAGGAAGAGGAAGAGGAGCATATCGAGGTAGAGGACGTGGAAGAGCAAGCACTCAAGGTAGAAAGCAGCAGAGGAAGAGGAAGAGGAGCATATCGAGGTAGAGGACGTGGAAGAAGGAGGCAGACTTTCACAAGGGCCACAGTAGAATGTTTTTAAGTGCCATAATTTGGGGCATTTTCAATATGAATGTCCCAAATGGAACAAAGAAGCAAACTATGCTGAATTGGATGAAGAAGAACTTCTGTTGATGGCTTACGTAGAAGAGAATGAAGCAAAAAGAAATGATGCATGGATCCTGGATTCAGGGTGCTCTAATCATATGTGCAGAGACAAAGGTATGTTTTCAAACATGGTAGAAGGCAATGTTACATTACACGCTGGGCGCTTCTAGGCGTCGGACTTGACGCCCAATGTTTAGTCGCCTAGGCGGACGTCTAAGCGGTTTCTGGGCGTTTTTTTAAGTGGTAATCGATGAGGTTTTGCTGAATGTCGGAGGAGGTAGTAGAGGTGTTCATATTTGAAGGTTAATGGAGTTTGAAGGACGTGTAGGATGCGATATATAAAATCACAATCAATGCCTACAGGATGCAATCCACGTAAGCAGACAATGCTCTCCTAAACACTCGTAAAATCTAGGTGGGCAGCCTAAATACCGCCTAGGCGCTAGTTAGGCAGCCTAGGTAACGCCTAGGCCTAGGCGTACGCCTAAGCGGACTAGGCGGAGGTTTTTTAAAACAGTGGTAGAAGGACACAAGCACTCTGTTAAGTGTGGAAATAACTCTCGAATGACAGCTGCCAGAAAAGGTAGTGTTAGATTGGTGTTTAATGGAACTACTTTTCATGTTCGAGATGTATACTATGTCCCAGAGCTTCGAAACAATCTGTTAAGTGTGGGGCAGTTGCAGGAAAGTGAACTTGCCATTTTTATAAAAAATGGGGTATGCAATATATATCATCTGTACAAAGGGTTGATTGCGCACACGAACATGCGTGCTAATCTGCTAATCGGATGTTTATTCTGTTGAATGAGAGCTCCAACACAGCTTCTATTGTTGAAGAATGTCTACACACTTCCTCTGATCTTACTTACCTTTGGCATCAAAGGTATGGTCACATAAGCTACAAGGGCTTGAAGACACTGCAAACAAAGAATGGTGTGTGGTCTACCTTAACTGGAAGCTTCAAGTGTCACTTGTGCTGGTTGCTTCACTGGCAAGCAATACCGCAATGCAATCCCTAAGAAAAGTGAATGGCGTGCTAGCAAGGTCTTGGAGCTTATACACGCCGATATCTGCAACCCAATTGAACCAATCTCAAACAGTGGAAAGAGGTATCTTTTATGCTTCATTGATGATTATAGTCGTAAGGGTTGGGTCTATTTGCTCTTTGAAAATCAGAAGCTTTGGAATGTTTCAAATCATATAAGAAATTGGTGGAAAAGGAAGCAGAGGCGTCCATTAAATGTTTGCAGATGGACAGAGAAGGAGAGTTTAACTCTCAATTTCAAGACATTCTGTGAAGAAGAAGGCATAAAGAGGCAATTAGCCACAGCATACACACCACACCAAAACGGAGTGGCAGAACGCAAAAAAAGAACAGTCATGGACATGGTGCGCTGCATGCTCACTGCTAAAAAGGTTCCCAAACCTTTCTGGACGGAAGCTGTAAACAGGACCTACTTGCTGAATATATGTCCAACGCTAGCAGTGAAGAACATCACTCCACAAGAAGCTTGGAGCGGAATCAAGCCTTCTAGTAGAACATCTTCGAGTTTAGGGTTGTTTGGCACATGTACACATTCCAGAGGCAAAACGAAGTAAACTTGATGATAAGAGCTTTCCTTGTATTTTGTTAGGTGTGAGTGATGAGTCAAAGGGTTATCGTTTGTTTGATCCTAAGACAAAGAGGATTGTGGTTAGTAAGGATGTAGTGTTTGAGGAAGAAAAGAGTTGGGATTAGGGTACAAATTATAAGGAACAAATAGAAGCAGAGTTGTTTTGGGATGATGATGCTTTTAGTGGTAATGAGAGTGAGGGAGAGCATAGAGGTGAGGCCAATGGTGGTTTAGATGTTGATATGAAATTTGATAGTGAAGGAGAAAATGGTGAGAATAACTTAGGAAGGGGGAATAATGAAGAAGGAATGGAGAAGGGACTAGTAATGTCATTGGTAGGAGAGAAAGAAGAATGCCAACATGGATGGGAGACTATGTGAGTGGTGAAGGTATAAGTGAAGAAGAAGAAGCAGAGGAACAAGCATACATGGTGGTTGGTGATTTCGAAGATCATGTTTTATTCGAAGAAGCTGTCAAAGAAGAAAAATGGAGGCAGGCCATGGATATCGAAATTCAAGCCATCGAAAAGAACAAGACTTGGGTTCTTTGTGACTTACCTAGTGGAGCAAGGAAAGTGGGTGTGAAATGGATCTACAAAACAAAGCGAGATGAACATGGGGAAGTGATCAAGTACAAAGCTCGACTAGTGGCAAAGGGGTATTCACATAGAGGAGTTGACTACTCAGAGGTATAAGCACCAGTGGCAAGACTAGACACTGTGAGAACTATCATTGCTTTGGCAGCACGCAAGAAATGGAAAAAATTTTAAAATTTTTCAACTTGATGTCAAGTCTGCGTTTCTACAGGGAGATTTGAATGAGAAGGTGTATGTGGAACAACCAAAAGGCTATGAACAAAAGGGGAAAGAAAGCATGGTGTATCAACTACGCAAAGCCTTATATGGCTTGAAACAAGCCCCCGTGCTTGGTTCAGCCGCATTGAGACTTATTTCATGAAGGAAGGTTTTCAGAGATGTGCAAGTGAGCACACATTGTTCACTAAGCGAAGCAGTGAAGGCCACATAATCATTGTAAGTATCTATGAAGATGACTTGATCTTTATTGGTGATTGTGCGCACTTGTTGTTTGATTTCAAAAGATCTATGATGAAATAATTTAATATGACTGATATGGGAAGCATGAGTTACTTCCTCGGAATTGAAGTATTACAAAAGGAGGGAGGAATTTTTATCTATCAGAAGAGATATGTTCTTGAGGTGTTAAAGAAGTTTGGAATGCAAGAAAGCAAAATGGTTAGCATTCCTATTGTTCCTGGTTCAAAGATGGAGAGACAAGAATGGGACTGCAGTGGAGGGAACTCTTTTCAAGCAGGTTGTAGGGAGTCTATTCTATTTGACTTCTACCAAACCAGATTTGATGTTTATTACAAGCCTCCTGAGCAGATACATGGCAAGTCCAACAGAGCTGCATATGCAAGTAGCTAAAAGAACATTAAGGTAGTTGAAGGGTACTATGGATTATGGCATTTACTACAAGCATGGTACAAGCAACAAGCTACTTGCATTCACTGACAATGACTATGCGGGGGACATTGAAGATAGCAAGAGTACCAGTGGTTATGTCTTCATGCTAAGCTCAACAGCCATCTCATGGAATTCGAAAAAGCAACCAATTGTAACATTGTCCACTACATAGGCAACTAGTGCTTGTCAAGCTATATGGCTAAAGAGGATCTTGGAGCAGCTCGGACATGAAGAGGAGGAATGCACCAACATCATGTGTGACAACACCTCCACTATTAAGCTGTCAAGAAATCCAATTCTACATGGTCGTAATAAACACATTCGAGTGAGGTACCATTTTCTCAGAGATAACTAAAGAAGGTTCCGTTGCTCTGCTACATTGTGGAAGTATTGATCAGGTTGCGGACATTATGACCAAGCCCCTCAAGTCTGATGCTTTTGTCAAACTCAGAGGCATGTTGGGAATGTGTGAAGTCAGTAAGGTAAGCTAAACATGTTTCACTGTGTTTAGCTTGAGGGAGAGAATGAAGAGGCTTGAAAGTTGTCCTATTATTTAGCTAGTTTGTTAATCTGTTTTAGAAGTCCTATTCAGTAGGGTTTTAGTTGCTTTTGAATAAGTCTCACATAGCTGATTGTGGCTAAGAAAGTGAGCAATATTTCAGCATTTGTTGTTTAAGTTTGTAGGCTATATAATAGCCAGAGTTTACATTCAGTAATAGAGTTTTTTGGTTGATTGCATACTTCCTTTACTCTACAATAAGATCATAGAGTATTGCTGCTAAAACATTAATACTTCCAGTGAACTGAAAAAAAAAGCAACTCCAGCTTTCAACATCTTCAACCAGCGTTATGATGCAACCTAACTCAAAAACTTATTTTCTCATATTCATGCGAGATACAAAATTAACAAACACAATAATAACGCTCAATACATAAACTAATGAAAAGAACAAACCTTGATGTCATCGTTCGATACGCCATAATCCAAATTAGAGATGTAAAGCTTCGTCCCCGTCTCGATCGAAGAAACCCTGGACGCTGCCGGAACCGAAAAGGCCGCAATCTGATCCGTATAGACACCATAGTCCGCCGCCTAGATCCGATAACAACACCAAAATGAGAAAAAGCAGTAACTGCGGTCCCCTTGAGATTGAGAGCGAGATCGGAAGTTGAACCGAGTGAGGTAACCCTAACCCTAACCGTAGCTTTTTAACTTTTTGGAGGGGTTTTTTTTTTTACCTTGGGCATCGAATAAGGATTGGGACGATTCGCAGCGCGATTTTGGGAACGGCGAGCGGGGCCGGGGCCGGAGCGGCCGAGACCTCGGCCGCGGCCGCCGGAGGATGAGGACTTCTTGCTGTTTTTGATGATGTCGTCGAGCGACATGTCGAGAGCGCTCGACATGGCTAGGGTTTTGAGAGGAGAAATTGAGGGAGCTAGGGTTTTTGACCGGAGAGAGAGGAGAGAGAGCATATATTGCGGGCCGGGGGGCCGAATGTAGGTATTTTACTATAAGGCCCTCAAATCTCTTTTATTTTAATAGTAAGGTCCTCAAATTCAAGTCCACTAAATTCTGTTAATTTTAGTCCTTTTCCCTCGTCTTTTCTACATTTTTCCCGCTTAATGCATAGAAACTTCTCAACAAAGGCCACAAAGAGCAAGAGCAAGAGGAAGAGATTTGAAAGGATAGACAACAGTAGGGGTGAGCATTCGGTCGGTTCGATTAGTTTCGACAAAAAAATTAACAACCGAACAACACCGACGATCTCAAGAGAACCGAACTGATACGATTCGGTTCAGTGCGGTCGGTTTACACTAGTGCTGGCTGAAAAAGGGGTACTGGGTGGGCAGTTTTGGGCAGACTGGATGGGACGAGGCTGGGATTTAGAAGACAAGGGGAATTGAGTCTAGGGTTTTGGAGATTGAGCGAGTGGGGTTGATTGTACTTACTTGGGTTGTTGGAGTGCAGGCCTTTTTCAAGCTCGATGCTCCAGTTCATGGCGCACGCAGCAAAGAGAGACGCATCATCAACCTCTTCTTGTCAATCATTTGAACTCTCTGAAACCCCAATCTCTTCATCTTCTCGCTTTGGATCCCTGAACCAAACCAAAAGATCAAGAACAAGCACCAACTGGTAACTAATCATACAAAAAACAAAACCCTAACCCTGGAAATTCAAAACCCACTGTGATCCCGCACCCGAGGGAGCAACAACACGAGCACAGGCGAGGATTGTGCGGGATCAGAGCTCGTCAGCCTTGATCGAAGAAGGGGGACTAGGTCGGCCTTGATCTGACGGGGCCAGAGGCGAGGGGGCTGGCGAGCGAGAGGATGGGGAGGGAGATGATGGTCATGGTGGAGGCGGCAGCGGGA